GGGCAGGCACCTGGGCGGTGACGCCGGCGGGGCGGACTACCACCTGGGCGAGGTGGCGCTGTGGTCGCTGCTGGCGGCGAGGGCGCTGGGCCAGCCGAGGCGCCTCGGCGGCAGCGGCGGCGGCGGATGGAGGAGGGGGGGGGCGATGTGCGACCAATCGCGAGCCCTGCCCCTGCGGGTCCCACCGACGCAGGGGCATCGGACGCCCCTGCCTGGGGGTTCGCCCGGCTGCTGGGCTGCAGACACCATCCGAGCTCTGAGTCCCAGCCTGCTCCTCGGAAGTCTGGCCTGCAGGGGCAGGGTTTGAGTAGGGCGTGTCCCTCTGCAGGAGGAATGTTTGTGAGCATGGTTCAAACATCGTCAGGGGGCGTTTTTTCGTACAATCTGGGCTATTTTTGAATCTGCTCTGGCTATGTTTTATTTTTCCTCCACAATCTGCCTGTGGGAGGACATGCCCGCATTAAGGTTAAGTCGGGCCTGTCCCTCTACAGGAGGAATATTCAAAAGTAGTCAAAAAATAGCATGGGGACGATCTTTGGATCATTTTTGGAATATTTTTGAATATTCTTCGACTATTTTCAATTGTTCGCCCAAAAATCCGCCTGTAGGGGGACATGCCCGACCGAAACCTGAGGCAGGGTGAGGGTTCTCTGCGCTCTCGGGCCGCCTCGCGCCGTCTCGCAGGGCCTCCTCGGCAGGCCTCCTCGGGAGGCCTCCGGGCCCGAGGCCTCCTCGGGAGGCCTCTGGTCAAGGGAGGAAGTTCATCGGAAGAACCACCCGGACCGGACAATTGGCTTTTACTAAACGGCCCTGGGCGTTTGCCAAACCGCTTTGCCCTCTCCGACTCCTTCTCTGGGTGCGTTTACTATACCGCTTCGCGTGTCCGATGGTTGTTATCATCGGAGTGAATTTTCTGCCCTCTATCTGGGAGACCTCATCGGGGCCTCGCCCGCGGCAGCGGCGGCGGCGGCGGCGGCGGCGGTGGCGGATGGCAACGGAGGCGGCGGCGACGGCGGCGACAACGACGACGTCGGCATCGTCGTCGTTGTACGAATCAGTCGGGCATGTCCCTCCACAGGAGGAGTGTTCAAGAATATGAAGAACATAGTCAGGGGACGGTGTTTCGTGTCCTTCTTCTTGGTGTGACAATGTGGTGTGCTTTTCGTCTAAAATCATCCTGTAGGAGGGCATGCCCGACCTAACTGCACGACCCCCCCTGGGGGGTGGTGAGGATCTGCCCGCCCCCCCGTCGCCCTCCTCTCCCAACCTCTCCCTCCTCTACGACAGGTAATGATGATGCTGATTATGATGATGATGGATGACACTTCTGGCCATGATAATAGTGTTCATGAAGACGATGACGAGGAGGACGGTGATGATGTTGGTTTAGATGGACGGCGATGGTGACTATAATGACGATGTTGACGTCAGTGTCTGATATGGATGCGTGATATTCCTGTTGATACTGCTGCTGCTGATGCTGATGATGAACACGTATGATGATTCTGATTATGATGACGATGGTGCTCGTCGGCGACGAATACTACAACGAAGGTGACGATATGGTGAGGACGAGAAGGAGGAGGAGGAGGAGGAGGAGGAGGATGAGGAGGAGAACCAGAGTGAATCCAGGATGCACCAACCATTCTGCAGTGCACCCTCTCGTCCCAAATCCTCTCTCTGCAGGCACTCCTCGTCACTGCGGGCGGGATCCCCTTGAGCGACGCGCGCCCAGGGGGGGGCCTGCCGTTCGGGCGAGGGCCCAGCCCTGCATTCCTCTAGCTATGGGGAACGCGAAAGGGTAGGAGCGCACACGTCAGGGAACTGCCCAGCGAGAGCACCGCTTTGAGCAGGAACCGCCCCCCCATCCGCGCAGCCGTGGCACAACGTTCTGCTTCTGGTCTTACAGTTCGACGAAGCCTCGAGCGAGAGCCCCACATCGAACAGGGATGTCATGCCAAGCAAAGAAGCCGTTACACACAATGCCACTTATAGCCACATTTTAAGCCAGCGCGAGTCCCAGGCGTGCGCGCAGTTCAGAGACGAGAGCCACATTTTGGAGACAACCCGCCCTGTTAACACGATGGTGCGCGGCGTTATGGCGAGAGCCACGTTTCGAAAGCTACCCGCCCTCAATCCGCATAACGGTTCGAAGTTCTCAAACTTCATTATCGTTAGCAGTGGTGGAGTCTCAGGGGAAACGCCCAGCCCGCCCAACCGACACGTTTGGTGGTGCGACGATGAGGAGTTATCGCAGACGCTTGCGACGAATCACCGCCGCCCACTGTCTGCTGGAAACGCCCATACGGCCAAACTTTGTGGCCAGAGCTCGGCCAAGCCATCGGGCCATGCACTCCCCTAGCAGTCGTGGAAACGCTTCGCGGAATACGCGGGGGAATACGACGAAATGGAGGAGAGATCTCTTCGGGCTTTCCTGGGTGCTCTCTCGGAGGCCTCTTTCGGGCCATTCTGGGCCATCCCGTGTGCAGCTTGGGCCGTCTTCGAGGCATCTTGCGGCCAGTTTGGGCTCTCTGGGAGCCTTTTTGGATGTCTTTAAGGCCTCTTGGATACCCTCTTGGGCCATCTTGGGTCCGCCTGGAGCGGGCAGACCGATGACCTGGGAGGTTTATGGGTCCTGATGGGGTGCCGACGCGATCCGCCGAGACCCCCTTGGGAACTTGGTGCATAGGATCGAGGGCTGCCCAAAAATGTGGCACGCCGTGCACCCCTGGAGACCCTTTTTCCTGACCATCCTGCGGTGCTGGGTCCTCGTTTTGAAGAGACAGCGCCCCGCGTCACTCCTCTCCTCCTCCCCCTCCCTCCTCTTCTCATCATCACCATCACCATCACCATCACCATCACCATCACCATCACCATCACCATCACCATCACCATCACCATCACCATCACCATCACCATCACCATCACCATCACCATCACCATCGCCATCACCATCACCATCACATCACCATCACCATCCATCATCATCATCATCATCATCATCATCATCATCATCATCATCATCATCATCATCATCATCATCATCATCATCATCATCGTCATCGTCATCGTCATCGTCATCGTCATCGTCATCATCCTCATCATCCTCATCATCATCATCATCGATATCATAGTCACCATCATCGTCATCATCACCATCATGGTCGTCATCATCGTCGTTATCGCCGCCATCATCATTACCGTCAGCATCATCAGCATCATCATTATCATCATCGTCATCATCACCATCACCATCATCATCATCATCATCATCATCATCATCATCATCATCATCATCATCATCATCATCATCATCATCATCATCGTCATTATCGTCGGTGCACCCCTCACGATGATCGTGGCCCCATAGGGAGCGCCACCGAAGGCCCCAGTGGCGCAGCCCGCATGCGTCACGCACGCACGCACACACAGACACACACACACACACACACACACTTCGGCACACCCCTCACACGTTTCGTGGCCCCATAGGGAGCTCCGCCGAAGGTCCCAGTGGCGCAGCCCGTATGCGCCACGCACACCCATTGCGGCACACCCCTCACACGTTTCGTGGCCCCATAGGGAGCTCCGCCGAAGGTCCCAGTGGCGCAGCCCGCATGCGTCACGCACACCCATTGCGGCACACCCCTCACACGTTTCGTGGCCCCATAGGGAGCTCCGCCGAAGGTCCCAGTGGCGCAGCCCGCATGCGTCCCGCACACCCATTGCGGCACGCCCCTCACACGTTTCGTGGCCCCATGGGGAGCTCCGCCGAAGGTCCCAGTGGCGCACCCCGCATGCGTCACGCACACCCATTGCGGCACACTCCTCACACGTTTCGTGGCCCCATTGGGAAATCCACCGACCGCCCCAGTGGCGCAGCCCGCATGCGTCACGCACACCCACTGCGGCACACTCCTCACACGTTTCGTGGCCCCATAGGGAGCTCCGCCAAAGGTCCCAGTGGCGCAGCCCGCATGCGTCACGCACACCCATTGCGGCACACAATTCGCACGTTTCGTGGCCCCATGGGGAGCTCCACCGAAGGTTCCAGTGGCGCCGCCCGCATGCGTCACGCACACAAACATTGTCGCACACCCTTCACACGTTTCGTGGCACCATAGGGAGCTCCGCCGAAGGTCCCGGTGGCGCAGCCCGCATGCGTCACGCACACCCATTGCGGCACACCCCTCACACGTTTCGTGGCCCCATAGGGAGTTCCACCGACCGCTCCAGTTCCTGCTCTTCGGCCACGGCGGCAGCGGGAAGACCGCCATGGTGCAGGAGATCGTGCTGTCAGCCATGGGCGCGCTGTTCCCTGTGGAACCAGGCAAGGCGAAGTCCACGCATATAGTTTGCGCGAAGTGGTCCCAGGCCGCGGACATGTCCATGGACGCTCACAAGGCCGTCAGTTGCCACCGGGCAGGTGTCATAGGAGTGCAGTCCTTCAGGAACAATGACATACCCGCGGGGGGCAAGCTGAAAGTGATACAGGACACGCGGGAGTACGACCAGGTCGGCGGAGCCTTCGGCCGGATGCCGATCGTGATCCATTCGGGAGACTTCTTGCAGCTGAAGCCGACAGGAGGCAAGGTGTCGCTCATCTCCAGCTTCGAGGAGCTCGCGGCGGCGGGCATCAACCTCGCTCCAGAGTGCAAGGCCGTGATGAAGCTCTTCTGCAACGCACCGCTGTGCTTCGAGCTCCAGGCGTCCAACCGCTTCAAGGGCCCAGAACTCAGGGATCTCATGGCGCTCTTGCACAAACCGGGGAAGCAGGTCCCTCCGGCCATCCGGGCCGCGTGGAACGCCATGCAGCCGAAACCCGATGATCGCCGGCTCCGGGAGGAGAGGTTCCAGAACGGCCACATGATTGGGTCCTACTGGGACGCCGTGGCGCGGTGGATGAACATGCGTGTCCAGCGGGGCGCGGACGTCCTGTAAAAGCCCCTCTTCCTCGTGCAGGCCGCCGACAGATCTGCCCCGACGATGAACGTCAAGGACGCCGCCGAGATGATGAACTGTGCCAGCCCGAAGAACACCGGTGGCTTGCACGGACTGCTCCCGGTGCACGTGGGCATGCGAGCCCGGCTTCTGGAGACGCTGGACTTCAAAAGCGGCCTCGTCAACGATGCCGAGGGGCAGATCGTGCGCATCGTCGCGGGCCCTCGGGATTAGGGCGGCGTCGAAAGGGCAGAGAGAGAGATTCGTGGGCGACCTGAAGCGCCGCGACGCCCTCGCGGGGGACCTGACGGGCCCGCTGGTGTTCATCGAGCCCCGCGCGTCGGAGCCGTTCGCATTCCGCAGTTCCAAGGTCACCCAGACGGGCTTCCCGTTCTCGCGCGGCAGGGTCGTCGTCACGGTGGCGTGCCAGGGGCGCGCCGCGCGAGAAGGCGACGGGGCGGGGGAACGGCGCCCCCTGGGGAGTCCGTGGCCAAACCTCCTGGGCACGAGCGGTCTGCAGCCAGACCTTTTTCCGTATCTGTGGGCTCTCGCCTTGGGCCGTCGGCTGTCCCGCGCGCTGCTCCTTCGGCCGACGTCGCTCAGGCGCGATCCTGGATTGCGGCCGCCGCGAGATCGGGGGCGGCAAGGAGGGCGGCGACGACTGGTGGCTGGAGCTTTGCGTGCTGCTCTCGCGCGCCGCGCGTCACGAGGGCCACCTGCTCGCGCGGGCGCCGCGCGTCGAGTTCTTCCCGGCAGGGCCGCCGGGGGGGTCGCAGAAGCAGCTGGAGCAAATTGCGTCGCGCACGAAGCGGCGCAGGAGGGGGGCGGCAGCCCTCGCCAGAGAGCTCGGCTTCGCCGAATTTATCCGCGATGTTTGATCTGGATAGCGGCCCGCCCGAGCCGCGCCATATCCAGGCTGTCGAACAGTTCGGCCTGGCGCTGCGGACGACCCGTGCGCGTCGCTGGGGCCCTCTCGGGGCGACCAGCGTGCGTCGCGGGGGCTCTGTGCTGCGCGCTGCCCAGCGCCTCGTTCGCCCTTCTTCGCTCTGCCCGGCGACCGGAGTCTTGCCCGCTTTCAGCCAGCCAGCCATTTCGCTTTGCTCCGCGCAGCGGACGACCCGCGTGCGTTATTGGGGCCCCGTCGGGGCGACCGGCGCGCGTCGCGGGGGCTCCGCGCTGCGCTGTGCCCGCAGCCTGGGGCGCTGGGGCGCGCGGGCAAAGAAGGGAGAAAAGAGGGGGGGGCGGGGGCGATCCGCGCGAGGGGCGTGCCGACATGGGCGTCGACGTTCATGCACGTAGTCTCACTCGCGCGCAGACTCGTGCACAATCATGCGCACTCGTGCTCAGACCCACCCGCCTTCGTTATCATACCCATCGTCTTTTTCCGCGTTGCGTGCCCCGCTTCGTATCGGCGCGCCCCTCGCGCGGTTCTTGGCTTCATAGGGAGCTCCGCCGAAGACGAGATTCACAACGGCGTTATTGTCAAATCCATATGGTTGGGTCTTTTGCCAGGCTAATTTGATGGATTCTTCGGCGATAGCGGCCGTTGCGGGGGGGGGGGAGGGGACCGTTAACGTCGCGATTCGCGCTGCTGGCGTTTGGGAATGCTTCGGACAAGTGTTATGTTGTCAGGGTTTATATCCACAGGAAAAGTAAATGGTATCCTGTGGCAAGTTTAGGGGGTGGCGGATCGAAAACGCTCACGGCGCATCGCCGCCGCTCCCAGTCTTGTTGGAAGAGCTGGTGTGGCCGACCGTTGCAGCTGGAGCTCGGCCAAACAATCGGATTGCGTGCTCCCGCAGACGTTGCGTAAACCCTTCGGGGAACATGTGGGGGATAATGGAGAAGAGGAGGAGAAAAGGGGAAAAAAGAGGAGGAGGAAGAGGAGGAGGAGGATGATTCATGTGCCCCTACAACGTTTCATTTCCACTGGGGGGCTTTGGGGGCATCTTGGGAAACTCTTTGACCGTTTGAGGGCCTTCCTGGCACGTCTGACGCCGTCGGAAGCCGCCTTGCGGGCCTCTCTGGGCCGACTTGGGGTTCTCTTGGGGCGCTTCAGGGCCGTCTTGGAGACTATCTTGGGCATCTTGGAGGTCCCCTGGGCTGTCTCGTGGCTGTGTCTCCTGGGGTCGTCTTGACGGCCTCTTGGGATATCGGGGGGCCATCTCGGAGACCTCTTGGACGCTCTTGGGGTCATCTTGGTGGCCTCTGGGGCCGTCTCGGGCCGTCGGGAAGCCGAACATAAGCAAACGCAGACGGTCTTCAAAGTCCGGAGGACAATTCTACATCTTGGGGCCGTCTTGGAGGCCATCTCGGGCCATCTCGGTCGTCTTGGGGGCATCCCGGGGGCAATCTTGGGCCATCTTAGCCGTCTTGGAGGGCATCGGCGGCCATCCTGGGCCACCTTGGCCGTCTTGGGGCGACTTTTTGTGCACGTTGGGGTCTTTGTGCGGCTCTCCGGGTGGCCGACGGGTTGGGCCGAGGGCCCCTGGGAAGTTTTCAGCAAGGCTCCAGGCCAGCCTAGAATCTAGCACGCCCTGCACTCCCGTGGCAAGCCCACGGGACACGGCGGCGGATCGAGTGCGTTCGGCCCCTCCCGTCACCGTGCCTGGGCTGTAGGTCAGAGGCCTCTTGGATGCACGTGGGGATCTCTTGGGAGGCCTACCAGACGCCTCTGGGATCCGGTTTTGGGATGTCTTGCGGGCCTCTTGAGGGCCTCCTGGACCGCTTGGGGGGCCTCTTGGGGGCCTGCTGGCGGTCTCGGAGGACATCTTGCAGCGAAGGGCTCGAAATATCGGTTCGTGCTCCCCGCTGGGGCCTCTCTCGGGTCCCTCTGGGAGTCCTGTTGGGCCGTCTCGGAGTTCTTTTGAATTGTCTCGGTGCCATCTTGAGCCGTCTGGGGCGCTCTTTGGGGCTTCTTGGCCCGTCTCGGGGCGATCTTTGGGCTTCTTGGGCCGCCTTGGAGCGTTGAAAACTAGAAAAAGGCGAGAACACTAAAATCATCCAAACACCAAAATGATCTGTAAGGGCTTCGCCCCCTGCCGCCGGCCCCCTCTCTCGGAGAATGGGCCATGGAAGAGCTAAGTCATGAGGCCTTGGCGCTGTCGTGAAGCAGTATCGAAACTTCGTGCGAAGCCGATTCGCAATCAGCAAAACCAACTGATCACAAGAGAGGGGTTACCACACCTGGCGATTGGTAAGACGTGTATGGTTTTACGGGCTTGGTTAACACACACCTTGCGATTAAGGGCCGAGGGAGTCTCTCGCAGTTTGTTACCACGCCTTGCGATGGATGTGCGTGAAGGGTGGCACCGAATTTCAGAAATGTGCAAATCCCCTGTGTTTTTGGACCCTGACCCCGCGGATCTGCGTGAGGGGTGGCGCCGAATTTCAGAAATGTGGCAAATCCCTTGTGTTTTTGGACCCTGACCCCGCGGATCTGCGTGAGGGGTGGCACCGAATTTCAGAAATGTGGCAAATCCCATGTGTTTTTGGACCCTGACCCCGCGGATCTGCGTGAGGGGTGGCACCGAATTTCAGAAATGTGGCAAATCCCTGTGTTTTTGGACCCTGACCCCGCGGATCTGCGTGAGGGGTGGCACCGAATTTCAGAAATGTGGCAAATCCCTTGTGTTTTTGGACCCTGACCCCGCGGATCTGCGTGAGGGGTGGCACCGAATTTCAGAAATGTGGCAAATCCCTTGTGTTTTTGGACCCTGACCCCGCGGATCTGCGTGAGGGGTGGCACCGAATTTCAGAAATGTGGCAAATCCCTTATGTTTTTGGACCCTGACCCCGCGGATCTGCGTGAGGGGTGTCGATTTCGAGCCCCCCCAGCAATTCAGACAACGCGCCCAGGAGACGCTAAAAATCCAGTTTGGGCCTCCCCCCCCTCGCGCGGTCAATCAACTAGTTACAGTAACCAGCAAGAAGCAGAACTGTAACACTGGAAACTACAAGCTACAACTGGTACTGGAAACTGCGAACCACTGCCTCGCAGCCTGGTGGCCCCACAATGGGGGCCGGCGGATTTTTGCATCGGGCCATCTTGAGCATCTTGGGGCGATGTCTGGGCGACTCGGGGCCATCTTGAACCGTCTTGACGGCCTCTTGGGCCGTCTGTGGGCCCTCTTGAGTGTCTCGTGGGCGGCTCGGGGCCATCTTGAACCGTCTTGGGGGTCTCTTGGGGCCCTCTTGGCCCGTCTTGGCGCCCTCTGGTCTCTGGAACAGTCGCGCGACCGACCCCAGGAGCGCGCGTGGGCGCCCGAGAGATCCGGGAATTTGAGCTGTGGACCCCTCACACAATAGCTGCAGTACTCAATCGACATCTCGAGGGGGCCCGAGGACACTTCAGCTCGCGCCTCAGGGCATGGTGGCGGATTCGGAAGGAAGGAGCTGATGGGCCGGTGTAGGATGCGGAGGAGGGGGAGGAGGAGGAGGAGGATGAGGAGGAGGAGGATAGGGGACGAGGAGGAGGAGGGGAGGAGGAGGAGAGGGGAGGAGGGGGAGGAGTGGAGGGAGGAGGAGGAGGAGGAGGAGGAGGTGAGTGAGGAGGAGGAGGAGGAGTGAGGAGAGGAGGAGGAGGAGGAGGAGGGAGGAGGAGGGGGGGGGGAGGGGGAGAGGAGGAGGAGGAGGAGGAGGAGGAGGAGGAGGAGAGGAGGTGGAGAAGCAAGAGGAGCAGGCGAAGCAGGAGTAGGAGGCGGACTCGGAGGAGGAGTAGGAGTAGGAGGAGGAGGAAGCAGGCGAAGCATAAGCGGGATTCCGAAGCCGCCCCCCCAGGGGATCCCGCCGCCCGAGAGGCCAGACCTGTGGCCGCGTCTCTGGGCGGTGCCTGCCCGGCTGTCCCCCGCGGGGACCACCGGCGGCGTGTCTCGAGGACTTCGCCGTCGTCATCGGCGTCGTCGTGGTCGCCGGCGTCGTCCTCGTCGGCGTGGTCGTCGTGGTGGTGAAGTGGCGGGGGAGGAGGGGGAGGGGACGAGTGTGGAGGAGGTGGACGACGAGGATGAAGAGAATGAAGAGGATAAACATGAGAAGGATGATGCTTCGGTCGAGGGTGATGCTCCTGCTGCTGCCAACGTCGACGATGATGATGCTGATGCTGATGCTGATGATGATGATGGTGATGATGATGATGGTGATGATGACGATGACGTTGACGATGGCGATGATGACGATGATGACGATGATGATGATGCTGATGACGATGATGATTTTGATGATGATGAGGATGCTGATGCTGCTGGTGATGGTGACGATGATGACGGTGATGATTGTGACGACGAGGATTGTGATGGTGATGGTGATGGCGATGGCGATGGTGGTGGTGATGATGACGACGACGATGATGATGACGATGATGTTGTTGATGATGATGCTGCTGATGCTGATGACGACGATGACAATGGTGATGATAATTACGATGATGATGATGATGATGATGATGATGATGATGATGATGATGATGATGTTGATGTTGATGACGATTACGACGATGACGACGATGATAATGTTATTGTTGTTGACGATGATGATGCTGCTGATGACGATGACGATGATGATGACGATGAGGATGCTGATGATGCTGCTGCTGATGATGCTGCTGCTGATAATGATGGCGGTGACGATGGCGATGATGCTGATGTTGCTGATGCTGATGATGATGGTGGTGGTGGTAGTGATGATGATGATGATGATGATGATGATAATGATGATGATGATGATGATGATGATGATGATGATGATGATGATGATGGCAACGACGTTGACGATGACGACAAAGACGACGACGATGACGACGATGATGACGATGATGACGATGATGATGCTGCTGCTGATGATGATGACGGTGACGACGACGAAGATGACGATGATGCTCATGATGATGATGGTGATGATGATGATGAGGACGATGATGAGGACGAGGATGGTGATGATGATGATGATGATGATGCTGATGCTGACGGTGATGATGATGATGATATTGATGATGATGCTGCTGATGATAATGATGATGATGATGAGCATGATGACGATTACGATGATGATGATTATGATGATGATGGTGGTGATGATGGTGATGATGATGATGATGATGATGATGATGAGGCTTTGTTCATGAGTGGGAGGAGGATGAGTGTGGAGGAGGAGGACGAAGGTGAGGAGGATGAAGAGGATTAACATCGGATGGATGATGCGGTGGTTGATGGTGATACTGCTGCTGCTGCTTTGAATGAGGATGACAATGACAATGACAATGACAATGACAATGACAATGCTGATGCTGATGCTGATGCTGATGCTGCTGATGATAATGATGATGAAGATGAAGAATAATGATCTGATTATGATGATGATGATGATGATGATGATGATGATGATGATGATGATGATGATGATGATGATGATGATGATGGTGGTGATGGTGATGATGATGACGATGAGGATTGTGATGATGCTGTTGATAGTGGGCGAGAGCCACATTCTGAGCAGGAACTGCCCCCCAATCCGTAACACTCTCGCACTTCTTTAATACGAATGTGCGCGGCGCTGAGGCGATAGCCGCATGTTGAAAACGAACTGCCCTCAATCAGTGAATCTCTTGCAAATCTTAAAAACGAATGTGTGCGACGGTGAGGGGGGAACCACCTTTTGAGAAACCGAGCCGCCCTCAATCAGTAAAACCCTTGCAGAAACTTGCAACGAAATGTGCGCGGCACTAAACCGAGAGCCACATTTTGAAACCCACCCGCGCTCCATCTCGCCCGGCCCGCCCTTCGGACTGGCATCGGGGTGCGACAGTGAGGACGTATTCGAAAGGAAAAGGGCCGAGGATGAGGGGGAGGGAGGGGGAGGGGAGGAGGAGGAGGAGGAGGAGGAGGAGGAGGAGGAGGAGGAGGAGGAGGTGAGCTGTGTGCGAGGGGGAGGAGGAGGGGGAGGAGGTCCAGTTTTAACCCAAGGCTCATCACCGGTGTCGGAATAAACGCTCCCTCCAAACTCCCTCTTCATAGGCCCCTACAGGGGTTCATTTCCGCTGGGGGAACTGCCTCTTTGGGAGACGACCGTTCGAAGACCCTGAAGCGTGCCAATACGCCATTCTCGTGACTCCAACGCTACGAGTCATCATGACGGTTGCGTCTTGGTGATCCGCAAACGTGCCAAAACACAGTTTTTGGGATTCCAACGCAGCGAATCAACGTAATTGTTGCGCCCTCACAATCCTGAGTCATTCCATTGCACCATGTCTGGCACGTTGACCGCGGGAATCCGTGAGACTCTTCCCACTGTTTAAGACGAGTGCGCGCGGCGCGAAGGCGAGAACCACATTTGGAAAGGAACCGCCCTCAATCCGTGAAACTCTTGCAACTAGCAACACATAATGTGCGTTGCGCTAAAACCACATTTTGAAAACGACCCTCCCTCAATCCGTGAATCCCTTGCAATTGTTTTATACGGAGCCGCATTCTGATAGCGACCCGCATTCAACCCTTGCAAGTGATGCAACAATTTCGAACCAATGTGCGCGGCGCTCAGGAGAGAAACACATGTTTTTAAAACCACCCTCCCTCAATCCGCGAAGCTTTTGCGATATTCAAACGAATGAGCGTGTCGCAAGGGCAGGAGGATGGGAGAGGAGGAGGAGGAGGAGGAGGAGGAGGAGGAGGAGGAGGAGGAGGAGGAGGAGGAGGAGGAGAGGAAGAGGAGGAGGAGGAGGAGGAGGGGAGGAGGAGGAGGAGGAGGAGGAGGACGAGGAGGAGGAGGAGGATGAGGAGGTGGAGGAGGACGACGAGGAGGAGGGGGTGGGAGTCCTCAGCGAGCGCCACTCTCTCAAGCAGGACACCTCGCCTTCGCGTTCGCCGAGTGGCTCGCCGCTGAAGGCGACGTCCCCGCCGTCCTTCCTGCGTCCTCTCGAGAGGGGGTGGGGGAAATGAGCTTCTTTCTCTTGGGCGAGGGCGCAAAGGAGGAGGGAGGACGAGGCAGACGCGGAAGAGGAAGAGGATGATGATGCGGAGGAGGATGAAGAGGAGGAGGAACAATTATAATTGTAGTATCATTTTAGTAATGGTAACACCAATGTTGATATCATGGTTGTCAATACTATTATTATTAGTAGTTTAACATGACTAAGCATATCACTAAACTGATAATGCGAAAACTACTGCTACTACTCGCCTTCGTAGTGGCCGTAGCAGTAGTAGTTCTGGTGCTATTCATAATACTATGGACAAGCATAGTAGTATTACACATACTATCACTATCAACACTAATAGTGATACCAACAACAATAATACTAGCAACACCACCGTTAATCATACGCACTATGCCCGCACTGCGAGTAATACCACTACTCGTCATATGACTCACAGTACGGATGCTGCTGCTGCTGCTACTACTACTACTACTACTACTACATTGCGAGCGCTATTAATAATCGTAGCACGAACACTAACACTATGAATAATGCTACCAGTGCTAAGACAGGGGCGAATCCTAATACTAAGACTATTCCGAAACCGACGAGTACGAATTCGCATACGACTTCGATTCGTAAGGGTAATCATAGGCATACTAAGGATCAGACTATTACGCACGCGGCGTCTAAGAGCGCAGCTAACAATCATGATGTCACTGGTAAGAAGAACAAGAGGCATCATACGAATACTACGAATACTAAGCCTAATGAGACCACTAGTACTATTACGAAGGGGAAGAAGACGAATACTAATACTAACATTGGTATTAATAAGAACAATGAGGAGACCAAGACGACGACGAACACGAATGCGAATCATACGAAGACGAATTATGTGAATCACCATACTAATAACACTAGGAATACTAGTCCGACTAAGCATAATAATCTGAATCCTAATAACCAAGAGAAGAAGACGAAGCATACTGTGAACACGACGAAGAAGCAGGAGGAGGAGGAGACGGAGGATGCGGAAGGGGAGTATGATGCGGAGGCGGAGGAGGAGGAAGAGGCGGAGGACGAGGAGGCGGAGGCGGAGGAGGAAGAGGCGGAGGAGGAGGAGGAGGATGAAGCAGAGGAGGATGAGAAGGAGGAGGGGAAGGAGGAGGCGGAGGAGGAAGAGGAGAAGGAGGACGAGGATGCGGATGAGGAAGAGGAGGGAGGATGAGGAGGAGGAGGGGGAGGAGGAGGAGGAGGAGGAAGATGATGGGGATGATGACGATACTGATGATGCTGATGATGAATCTGATGCTGATGATGCTGCTGATGATGATCATCAGGATGATGTTGCTTATGATGCTGATGATGAGGATGCTGCTGCTGATGTTGAAGATGCTGCTAGTGCTGATGCTGACGCTGAGAATGCGGCTGATGATGCTGACGATGATGCTGCTGCTGATGATGATGCTGATGCAGCAAGCGCTGATAATGATGGTGCTGATGATGCTGCTGATGCTGATAATGCTGATGGTGATGATGATGCTGATGATGATGATGGCGATGATGCTGATGCTGCTGAGGATGATGATATGCTGATGGTGATGCGGGTGACAATGCTGCTGACGATGATGCTGATGATTTTGATGATGACGATGCTGATGAGACTGACGCTGGTAATGGTGATGCTGATGCTGCTGCTGATGATGATGCTGATGATGCTGCTGAATATGAGTATGATACTGATGATGCTGATGATGATGATGATGATGATGTTGATGGCGATGATGCTGCTGATGATGATGCTTCTGCTGATGATGCTGATGATGCTGATGACGATGATTATGATGCTACTGCTGCTGATGATGATGTTGATGCGAATGCTGAACATGATGATGATGTTGATGATGCTGAGGATGCTGATGGTGATGATGATGATGATGATGACGATGCTTACTGTGATGACGATGCTGATGCTGGTGCTGATGATTATGATGATGATGATGATGATGACGATGCTGATGCTGATGCATGTGATTGTGGTTGTGGTTGTAGCGATGACGATGCCAATGCTGGGGCTAACGATGATGCTGCTGACCATGATGATTACGATGCTGATGCTGAGGGTGATGCAGATGTTGACGCTGATGGCGACGACACCGACGACGATGCTGACTCTGACGATGATGACGCTGACGAGGATACTAACGCTGATGATGATACTAATGATGGTGACGCGGACGACGATGGCGGCGATGCTGATGATGATGATGATGATGATGATGATGATGATGATGATGCGGACGATGCAGATAACGCTGAAGATGATGTTGCTACAGGTGATGATGATGCTTATGCTGACGGTGGTGGTCGTGGTGGTGTTGATGATGATTCGGATGATGATGATGCTGCTGATGATGATCATGATGCTGGTGATGATGATGCTGATAGTGATGATGATGATGACGATGTCGATAGCGCCGATGACGATAATGTTGATTCTGATGCTGACGAGGAGTATGATGCACATAATGATGATGCTGATGAATCTGATGAAGATGATGCTGATGCTGTTGTTGTTGTTGTTGTTGTTGTTGTTGTTGTTGTTGACGGTGGTAATGATAACGAGGATAATGGTGGTGATGCTGATAAGGATGCCGACGATGATGATGCTGCTGATGCTAATGCTGATGATGACGACGATGATGCTGGTGATGATGATGCTACTGATGATGGTGCTAGTGGTAATGATGCTGCTGATGATGATGATGATGCCGATGATGATGATGATGATGATGATGATGATGATGATGATGATGATGATGATGATGATGATGATGTGCGATTGATGATGATGTTGAAGATGATGCTGATGCTGATGCTGATGCTGATGCTGATGCTGATGATGATGATGATGATGATGATGATGATGATGATGATGATGATGATGATGATGAGGGTGATGCTTCTGCTGATGATGCCGATGATGATGATTTTGCTGCTGATGCTGATGTCGCTGCTGATGATGATGGTGATGACGTTGTTGTCGATGACGATAAGGGTCTGGTGGTTGTGGAAGTGGTGGTGGTGGCGGGGGGATGGTGATGGTGACGTTGAGCTGATGGTGGTGGTGGTGGTGGTGGTGGAGGCGGTGTTGGACGAGGATGGTCATAACGATGGGGACGATGCGGAGAAAGAGAAGAATATTGATGATGACACGCATGACCTTGAAAATTATGAGGATGAGGACGTTGTTTGTAGGCAGATTTTTTGCAACACGAAGACACTCATGCCTAGAGTTGGCCCTCGAGGGCCCCCAGGACTTTGGTAATGCCCCCAGGACTTTGGTAATGCGAGCAGATTGAGGGTATGGTGGTGGGGGTGGGGGGGGTGAGGGGTGGGGGTGGGAGGGGCGGGGAAGTGGTCTGTGGGGGAAGAGGAGGGGTGGGGGGTTGGGGCAGGAGGAAGAGGAGCAGGAGGAGGAGGAGGAGGAGGAGGATGAGGACGATGAAGATGCAGGTGATGGTGATGCTGATGATGATGCTGCTGATGATGATGATGATGATGATGATGATGCTGCTGATGCTGCTGCTGATGATGATGCTGATGATGATGATGATGATGATCATCGTGATCTTCATGATGATGATGATGTTGCTGCTGCTGCTGCTGCTGATGATGATGATGATGATGATGATGATGATAGTGGTGGTGGTGGTGGCGATGCTGATGATGCGGATGATGCTGACGACGAGGGTGCTGATGGTGATGCTGCTGAGGATGATGAGGGCGATGATGATGCTGATGATGATGATGAGGATGTTGAGTATGATTATGATGATGATGATTATGATGATGGTGATGGTGATGGTCATGATGGTGATGCTGGTGGTGATGATGTTGATTCTGATGCTGGTGATAGTGATGGTGATGGCGATGGTGACTGTGACGCTGCTGCTGATGACGATGATGTTGCTGATGCTCATGATGATGACGATGATGGTGGTTGTGGTGCTGATGATGCTGATGAGAATGACGATGATAATGATGATATGAATGATAATGACAATCACGAATATGATGCTGATGATGATGATGATGATGCTAATGGCGATGCGGAGGAGGCTGAGGATGACGATAATTATGCTGGCGATGATGACGATGATGATGGTGATGACGACGCCGATGATGATGCTGCTAATAATGATGATGATGATGCTGATTATACCGATGACGCTGGTGAGGATGATGCTCATGCTGACGATGCTGATGACGATAATGATGAAGATGATGGTGATGCTGATGATGATGCTGCGGAGGAGGATGATGGTGCTGATGATGACGGTAATGGTGATGCTGATGATGATAATGAGTATTATGCCGATGTTGAAGATGCCGATGCTGATGGGGATTTTGATTGTGATTACGATTTTGATGCTGACTGGTGCTCTTGTTGATGATGCTGATAATTGTTATGCTGATGCTGCTGACGATGCTGCTGCTGCTGATGATGATGATGATGATGATGATGCGGATGAGCTTGACGATGATGATGTTGGTGATGGTGGTGATGATGATAATGATGCTGCTGCTGTTGATGAGGATGCTGATGCTGCTGCTGATGATGCTGAGTGTGATGCTGCTGCTATTGTTACTGCTGCTGATGATGATGATGGTCATACTGACGATGCTGATAATGCAATTGTTGATGCTGATGATACTGATGATGCTGATGATGTCGATGATGATGATGATGATGATGATGCTGATGATGATGATGATGATGATGATGATGATACTGATGATGATGATGATGATGATGATGATGATGATGCTGATGGTGTCGATGATGGTGATGATGCTGATGCTGATGCTGACGATGAGCCTGAGGCTGCTGATGGTGATGCTGCTGCTTATGATGATGCTGACTAAGCTGATGCTGATGACGATGATGATGAAGATGGTGGTGGTGGTGTTTGTGATGATGCTGATGATGATGCCGATGACGCTGCTGCTGATGCTGCTGCTGATGCTGATGATGCTGATGATGCTGACGATGATGACGATGGTGATGATGATACTGCTGCTGCGATGCTGATGCTGATGCTGCTGAGGATGATGCTGATGATGATGCGGCTGCTGATGCTGATGATGATGCTGACGGTGGTGATGATACTGATGATGCCGATGATGGTGGTGATTCTGATGATGATGATGCTGATGCTGATGATGATGGTGATGCTGATGATGATGGTGATGATGATGCTGATGCTGATGATGAACATGATGATAATGATGATCATGCCGATGGTGTTGATGATGATGATGCTGATGCTGATGGTGCTACTGATGATGATGTTGATGATGGTGGTGATGATGTTGATGATGTTGTCGTTGCTAATGGTGACGATGATGATGATACTGCTGCTGCTGACGATGATGATGGTGATGATGATGATGCTGCTGCTGCTGATGCTGATTATGATGATGACGGTGCGACTGCAACTGCTACTTCTGCGGTTATTGTGATTGTGGTTGTTGCTGCTGATGGTACTGATGATGAGGAGGAGGAAGCGGAGGAGGAGGCGGAGGAGGATGAGGAGGAGGAGGAAGACGATGACGATGCTGCTGATGCTGGTGCTGGTGCTGCTGCTGCTGTTTCCGCCACTGACGATGGCGGCAAAGATGAGGAGGATGAGGAGAAGGAGGAGGCGGAGGAGGAGGAGGAGGAGGCGGAGGAGGAGGATGAGGAGGAGGAGGAGAAGGAGGAGGAGGAGGATGAGCAAGAAGAGGAGAAGGATGAGGAGGAGGAGAAGGATGAGGAGAAGGATGAGGAGGAGGAGGAGTTGGCGGAGGAGTTGCGAGGAGGAAGAGGAAAGGATAGGCGGAGGAGGATTAGGAGGTAAGAGGAAGAGAAAGAAGAGGAGGGTGAGAAGGAAGGAAGAAGTGGAGGAGGGGAGGAGGAGTAGGATGAGCAAGAGAGATGAGGAGGAGTAAGATGAGCAAGAAAGTATAAAGAGAAGGAGGAGGAGGAACAGGAGGGGGAGGAGGGCGAGGAGCAAGGAACGCAAAACGAGACTGGGAGCGGCAAGATGCCGAGGAGGAGCAGGAGAAGGAGGAGGAGGAGGACGAGGAGGAGGACGAGGAGGAGGTGGAGGAGGAGGAAGAAGAGGAGGAACAGGGGTGGGGGAGGATGATGGCGAGGAGGAGGAGGAGGAGGAGAAGGAGGAGGAGGAAGATGAGGATGAGGAGGAGCAGGAGGGGGAGGAGGAGGAGGAAAAGGAGGCGGAACAGGAGGAGACTGAGGAGGCGGAAGAAAATGATGATGCGGAGGAGGAAGATAATGCAGACGGGGATGATGATGATGAGGAGGAGGAGAACAAGGAGGAGGAGGAGTACTCATAACAATATCAAGAAACCGTACGAGTATCATTACTATTACAACTAATATTTGTATAACTAAAAATTATATTTATATTAATAAGAGTTCGAAGAGTACACATAAAACGAGTAATACTAATACCAGTAACATAGAGCTAATCATGATAAAAGTACCCAGAGTAGTACTACTGATAACGCGAATCATGCTACTACTACTGATGCTACGATGCTACTACTAAGCACGAAACGAGTATAGCAGTCACCATGTGAGTCTGAAGAACAATAACAATACTAAGGTTAACAATCGTAGTAATACAGATGTTCGCACCAAGTGTAATAGCAGTACCATTATTCATATTCGTAGAAGTTTAAAGTCCAGCTATTGGTCGTGACACGAATCATGATAAAACTACCGGTGCTCGTACTAGTACCACTAAGAACAATATGGATAATGCCAAGAGCACTGCCACATATACTAATAAGAAGGAGACGAATAGTAATACGAAGAGCAAGACGCATACTAGTAATACTACTAGTAATGATACTACGTACAAACATGCGACTACTAAGAATAATCATAATAATCAGCATGGTCGTAACATTGCTATTACTATATACATACTACTTATACCAATGATAGAATGTATGAAGATTAAGCAAACGCGATCGCACGTACGAGTACTACTACTATCACTACCTCACTACTACTACTCCGACTCCTACTCCTATTCCTACTCCTACTACTCTTCTTCCCCCTCCTCCTCCTACTACTACTACTACTACTACTACTACCAGTACTACTAGTACCACTAGTACAACAACAACTACTACTACTACTACTACTCGTACTACTACGACTAGTAGTAGTAATAGTAGTCGTAGTATTAGTATTAGTAGTAGTAGTAGTAGTAGTAGTAGTAGTAGTAGTAGTAGTAGTAGTAGTGGTAGTCGTAGTAGTCGTAGTAGTCGTAGTAGTCGTAGTCATAGTAGTAGTAGTAGTAGTAGTAGTAGTAGTAGTAGTAGTAGTAGTAGTAGTAGTAGTAGTAGTAGTAG